AATTGAAATTGGAAAATAAAAAAAAAATTTGTCTTATAAAAATTATGTATACCCATATATATATGTCATACTTCTAAATTTATTGACATACCTTTATATAAAAATAAATTTTATATCACATTTATATTTTAGTATATTTACATTAGCTATATTATTTTTAAATTAATATATTTATTATTAAATTTGTATTGTATATATTTTTGTGTTATATATATATTTTAGTGTATAATATATATTTTTATGTATTACATATATTTTTTATTTTATTTCAATATGTATATATATCTTAATGGCAATGTAAAATTATTGATGCCTTAAAGCAAAATAATTAAAAATAAGTATAAAAACAGACATTTTAAATTAGTAATTAGGAATAATTAAGTATTTCAATTTTTCTTCTATATATATTTTGTATATTTGTATATTTTTAATATAATATAATCCAGTATAATTAATTATATTGTGAACTAACTAGTTATTTAATTGATATAAATAATTAAAAATATAATTACTTTATAATTTCATTTTAAATTTAATATAAAAATTTTATACAACGACAGAAACTATTTTATTTTATCTGATAAAAAATTCAATTACTTAAAAATTCTATACAAAAAATTTAACTATTTATATAATAATAAATAAAGTGTTTATTAAAATTTATATTTTTATATAATGTATGTTATGTATATATGTATATACTTTTATTTAACAACTGTGAAATTTTTGTTTGTCTTAAGTTTGGTTTGTTTTGTAATATAAGTTATTATATATAAATATACATTTTTAAAAAAAACACGATCTAAAGTCCTGCAAAAATTAAACACATAAATATTGAGGTCGACACTAGCTTATATATTTTAAAATTAAATCAACAAAAAATAAATAAATAGATAAATAATAAATAAATAGATAAATATTTAATAAATAGATAAATAATAAATAAAAAGTAAAATAATTTTTAAGCTTTATAATTTTCATCTCTTTTATTTTAAATTTTATTTCAAATTTTAATTGTTATATATTTAACATTATCCATAATATTTTTAATAACAAAATATTTAAAATAATTTTGTAAATTTTCTAACATAATTATAAATACAATATAATTTAGCTTTAAATTTTAACCTTCTTATACCCACAAAATATTTATTAATTAAAATATATTTTGTAATTAACTATTTTTATTTATAATTTATATTATATATTATAATTTTTATATAATATTGTTTTTATATATCTTATTTTTATTTTTATATGATTTTATTTTCATAATTCAAAATAATTGTTATTATAAATTATATATAATATTATTTTTATATATCATTATATTTATTTATTTATTAGAATATTAATTTTTTTACAAAAAAATATTTATCAATTAAAATATGTTATTTTTATTTAATATATATTTTAAATATTATTTTTTCATATAATACTATTTACACATATATTTTTATTTTTTTAATTAAATATATAAAGATAATTGTTGAAAATTATATATAATATTATTTTTATATATTGTTGTATTTATTTATTATTATTTTTCTTTATTATTACTTTCTCTATTTATTTTATAGATTATATTTATCATTCCGTGAATAAAGTCCAAAACATAAATATTAATAATATTATTCAGAAGAGGAAATGTACTATAAAACTGTGCATTATATATATACTAGAAGTGCATTATAACATATATATACTAATATTTAAAATATTTTTATTTTTAGTTTGTAATAAATTTACTTAATTAATTATTTATTTTTAAATGCAATATTAATTTATGGTACAATGTCATAAGTTGAAATCATAATAACACATAAATAAAAATATATTTATTGTACTAAATGTTATAATGATATATTAAATATAAATATTAAATATGCAGTAATCACTACCGAGAATATGTTAAAAAATATTTATTTTAAAATGTTTAAATACACATAATCAAGTAGAATTATTTATATTCATTAAAATATTTTTTTTTTAGATTCATAAAATTTTATTATAAAAAGAAACTTTTGTATTTTTCGTTTTAATATTAATTAATACAATTTACAATTAATAAAAATATTTTACAAAAAATTTGCAAAAAACGTTTTTTTTTTGGGTCTACTTTATTAAGTTATTAATAATATAACTTTTATCTACAATAAATATTATAAAAATAAATTACTTAAAATTATTAATATATAAAACATAATACCAATATGAATTTATTTATTAATAATTCTATATATTCAAGGAATTTTTTAAATTTCTGTTATTTCTATTTTATATAATATATTTTAAAAATATTTGTTTATTCAAGAATATATTTACTATAATATTATAATTTGTATTTAAATTCAACATGTACAAAATAAAAATATAAAATTCATTAAATTAGAATATATATAGAATAATAATTAAGTAAATATAAAAATGTGATGAAAAATATAATCCAAAAATAATACACTTTAAAATTATAATAATAAATCATTGTTATGTTTAATCTATTTCTATTAATAATTATATTTTAATTTTTTAATTAATAGTTTTGTATTATTCTTGGTTTATATTTCAATTTTATTGCATAATTTTTATTTGTAATTATGTATATTTGGGTTAACTGTTCATTATTATTGTAATCATAAAATATTATCATTATCATAAAATATATCATTTTAGTTAACGTATACATTTATATATATTCGCATATTTAATTATTTTTTTTTATAAAATATATTTTAATACATAAAATATGTATATATAATATATATGTATATATTTAATAAAAATAATTTAATTTAATATATATAAATATTCATAAATATATATAATATATATAATATATATTTAGTATATATATGTTTAGTTTATTTAATATATATTTATATATATATACACATTTATGTAAATATCATAGTCTTTATCAGTAAACTATACAATGAAATAAATACGTCAAATAAAGAAAAATGTTTTATTTTATTTTATATGTTAAAAAATAAATGAAAACTAAAACATCAAAAAATAAATATAAATAATTTACTAGATATAAATAGTTAAACTACAAATAATTTTTTTATTTAATACTATTAAAATTATATTCTAATTAACTATGTTCACACAGATATTATTTATATTAACATAGTTAATTTTTAATTCATCGTATCATATTATATTATACTTACGTATAACATTCGAATAATTAAAATACAATAAAGAAAAATTAATTAAGTAAATTCATATGTGAATTTTTAAAAATAATTTTTTATTTAACATATTTCCTATAAAATACTTTTAATTTTAATAATATTTTATGTAATATTATCAATAATATTAAATAATAGTTATAATTTTACTGAAGTCATAAAAAAAAATTAAACAATTTCTTTGTATGAAAATTATATAACATAAATATTAATTAATTAATAAATTAATATTATAAATTTTATAAAAAAGATAACTATACACAAAAGTAATCCTTTTTTATTTTAAATAAGCATTTAAAATAAAATATTTATTTTTAAATTAGTATCAATTATTTTATTATATTTAATATTATCATATTTTTTATTATTATAATAGTTATTATTAATTAATTGCAATATATAAATATTTTTATGTATTATATATATATAATATATATTTAATTATTACATTATATAGTGTGTATTTAATGAAATTAATAATAATAAAATTAAAATGTTATATAAAATATATAATGATATGTATAGTATATATAAAAAAGAATAATTTATGTAATAGTTATATTATAATCAAATCAGAATGTTGTTATAAGTATATGTAATATAATATAACACACATATATATTATGTTCTTATAATAATAATATTATATGATAACATAAATTTATTATGTAAATGATATTATTTATATGTATTATATTATTTATTTATTATATTATTAAATTGCGCTAAATTATAATCTATAATATGTATTATATTACTTATTTATTATATTATTAAATTGCGCTAAATTATAATCTATATTATAATATATATTATAATATATATTGTAATGTATATTTTAACGTATAATTTAATATATATTATAATACATATATATTCTGCTACGTATAATATGTAACATAAGAGATTAATAATCATATATGGCATAATTTAATTAATGACTGTAATAATAATAAAATATGATAACAATAAATGCAATAAAATAATAATATAATTACTAACTTAATAAATATATATTAATATATTTCAATAAAAATGAAATGAATAATTTATACACATTATGTATTATATATATGTTATATACAAATTAAGTATAACAAAGGTCTTACATATTATTTTATATATATTCTTATTTATATATATTATACAAGTTATATACATATTATAATTTATATGTATATATTATAAATTATATATGAATTATTATATATATGTATTATAAATTATATATACAATATAAGTTATATATATATATGTATTATAAATTATATATAAATAATAAATTATATATAAATTATAAATTATAGATATATTATATTAAGATTAAAAATATATATTTATTATAATAATACATAAATAAAAGTAATATATATTCTATATTATGTATATATTTGTATACATAATAAATATGTAAAAAAAAATAAAATTTCTTATCATACTATTAAAACAAACAATCTGATATTACATTGATTAACTTTCCAGTTAAATATTATGTAAATTAATAATTAAATAATTATTAATTTACAAAAATATATTATTCTATTATTATTATTTGTATTTATTATTTTAAATAATCTGCCTATGAAAATCAGAACCCGTTAAAATGACTTCGTTAGGCAGCTCTGCCTGCGCTCAAAAGCCAATTGAGGTGTGTTGTTGTTGTTGCAATTCAGAATTTCAGTTTGTCTCCATGCCTTTCGTAGTTTTTTTGTAGCGAATATCAGCTGATTGTGCCTTTCTCACCAACGAGAAGGTAAGCTTCGACTTCGACCACGCACGCATACATATTTACTTGATTCACTTGCGCTGTGCGGTTTGGTGAGTTGTTGTTGTGTGGTGGTGGTAGTTGTTGTTGTTGTTCATATTTTCGCTGGTTATTAGTTAGCAGCGAAAGAGCGAGCAGATAACTTTCATGTTCTATGTTTGGCTTCACCACATTTGTGCAACGTCTTTGTGAAGCATTTGCTGGTTGTGTTTGGCGTTGTCGTCATCATTGTGGACATTGTGAAGACGTTAAGGCTATTTGATTCAAAGGCTGATAATAAATAATCAATAATACACAATTCTTTGACCAACAACACAACCAACCAACCAAGTTACAAAGGAGACATACAAGCAACTGAAGTACGTGGTTCCTGAAGTACATTTGAAAGCATTGCATCTAGTTTAGTGATTATGAAAATAGTGAGTGTCAAAAAGTTTCCTTTGATTGGCACAAACGGCTACTGAAGCATAGCCTTTTTGTGCTCTTATCAGTAAATAAGTTCCTTAAAAGTGTTTGATCATTATTTGAACATTGGCTTCTTGCTAATGCAGTGTTGAAATTAAATATTGCTCGCATGTAGTAAAGTAAAGCAGATTCTTCAGTAAATGTGCTAAATTAATACAAAGATAAGTGTTCAATTGTCTGAATTGCTGCATGTGTAGTCCAGGTTTTTATTAAAACGACATCTAGTTTCATTGGATTGGATAATTTCACTGCATGATAACAGAATCAGGTAAGTGGCTACCATGTGGGTGGGTTTGAGGTACATATATGACACTATAAGGGTTCCAGAAGGTATAAACCATAGATGGTGCTATAGCTAACGCAACAATTATCTAGTTACGAAGGATGCAATTGCTGGTGGGACCCAATTATTAACCCAAAATTAAGCAAAATTCTTTTCAAAATCAACCTCATTTCCAAGTAATTTTTGCCGCATCTTCGCTCTCTTTAAACTTGACAAAAAAAATTTTTTTTCTATGCGCTTAACAATATTTTACAGCAATTTCGGTACTCTCTCGCGCGCATTTCTATACTTTATGGCTTGTTGCGCGCGCTACTCTGCTGTCATTGTCAATTGATAATATGCACTGCTGCTCCCAATTCGCTCTCTCGGAAGCCCGCGCGCGCCAAAATTGCAACTTTAATTTCTTTATAACTTTGACAAATATTCACTAATTTTCAGTTTTTGAAATAAATTTGATTTTTCAGGATATGCACTTTCCAACCATATGCAATACTCTATATCATTCATTTAATAATCATTCAAAATTATTGTTTAAAGTTACTACTAAAAATGCGAAATTTGAGTCGACGTGGTGGTCGTTTGTGTACATTTTTGTTGTGTTTTTGTTTGGAAAGTAAACAGTGTTACATTTTGCAAAGGGAATTTTTTTTCTGGCTTAAGGGAAAATCAATTGTGTAAAGTAAAGAATATATAATAGTTTTTTATTTAGAATCATCTATTATTCTTGTTTTAAATGTATTTATTACATAATATATTAATAATTAATTTTTTTTAACATGATTTATATATTAATTGCTGTACACTATTATAAGATAATATATGATATATAATTATTTTATGTACATATGTGTAATAATATGATATTTATTAATTACATACAATTTTTGGAAAATGTGTTTGATGAATAAAAAACAATACTACGACCTTTGTTTTGCATTGACTTTTTATTGATACAACTTTAATTAAAATGATGTGTATAACAACAAAAAAATTATAAATACAATTAAGAATTATTAGTCCTAAGATAAGAAATCTGTTTCAAATAGAAAAGGTGTTGTAATAGTATGAAAATGAACAATTAAAAAAAAAATATTAATAATCAAATACTTAACCCAATAAGTTAATAAAATAATTATAAATTGATACAATAAAAATAATATATAATAAAAACAATATATAATAAAAATAATATATAATAAAAATAATATATAATAAAAATAATATATAAAAAAAATAATATATAATAAAAATATAATAATAATACTAACGAATTTATATAATAAAAACAAATTCATAATAATAAACTCATGTGAAAATAATAAATTCATTTAATAATAATATGTCTTTATAATAATAAAAAATTCCTATAGTAATAATAAATTAGCATAATAACAAATTGTTATAATAACAAAAAATTGTTATAGTAACAATAAATTCTTATAATAATTACACATTTTTATAACAAATAACAAATTTCTGAATTCATAATAACAATAATAGTAAGAATTTTAAAAAAGTACAATAACATATCGAACCTATAAGATTTATGTTGACGATATAAGTACCAAATATTAAATTTAAATAAAATATATGATTAAATAGAACCAAAGTATTTATTTTTAAAATAAAATAAATTTACTTTGTTACTCACAAAAAAACTTGAAAACTTTATTTTTTAAAAAGTAATACATTTTATTTTTTTAATAATAACTTTTCAAAATTTTAATAAATTTTATTTTTTAAAAACTAATAAATTTTATTTGTTAAAACTAATAAATTATATTTTTTAAAAATTAATAAATAAATTTTAATTTTTAAAAATGAATAAATATAATTTTACAAGATTTATTAAATTTTATTTTTTAAAAAGTATTTAATTTTATATGTCAAGAATTATTAAATTTTATATTTTAAAAACTAATAAATTTAATTTTTCAAAAAAGTGATATATTTAATTATTTTAAATTTTATTTTTTAAAAATCAATTAATTTTACTTATTTAAAATTTAATAAACTTAACTTTTTTTAAACTCGAAAGAAATAGGAAAAGTTATCTATTCAAATCTGTAGTCAATATCAAAATTTTGGACACAAGCAACATTGTTTTCACAAACCTGTCGCTCACGAATTCATTTAAAAAAATGATAAATAAAAAGAAAGAATAGAAAAAAAATTTGCTCATCAAAACAGCTGATATAACACACACTCTTCATACAAAGTCAAAATAAGCTTAATGAATTGTGCCGCTCTCTATCTCTCTATCTGTATCTCTCACTTTTGTTTCACTCACATTTATAAGTGTTTGCTGTTTGTTGCGTCAAAGTTTGCTCTTTGCGCGGTCGACGTCTTTTGGGGAATGTGGAATTCTTTAGAAAGCATGAAAATCTTGTTTGTGTTGTTGTTGCAGCTGTTTCGGTTGCTGGTGTTAGTTCATTCCACCATTGGTAACGAATGCTTTTGTATTTGTATTGTTATTCTTTGGCGCTCGATCATCTGTTTTTGGCGCAATCGTCCGTATGCAGTAATAGAAAGCATTTCGATGACGATTTTATGCAATCTTTGAATGCAGTTTTAAAGCAGTTCCAGTTAGGTAAACTAGTTGAATTTCATATCAAATGAAAGAGAAAAATCTCTAGTTGATGCTTAACTAAAAATATTCAAGAAATTTGTAATTTTAGTGGGCAAAATCCACGCGCCAAAAATTAAAACAGAAACCGCCTTTTTGCTTAGTGTATCGTCGTCGTCGTCTCCGTATTCTCCGTCGTTGTCGTCGTCATGTTTGCGTTTCGAAATTGGAGAATTTGTGTTGGCTGTGACTGTTCTTAAATTTAATTTTTTTTTTGTGTTATTTTTTGGTTTGTTAAGTGTTTTAAGTGTTAAAAGAAGGGGCAAAATAATTTAGCGCATTACCTAAAAACAAACCAAAAAAACAACAAAAAACCATGTATTCAGAAACAGAAATGGGAAACAGAAAAGAAAGAGCATTTCGCCGTGATTGTAAGAAACGGTAAATGTAAATAATACCTTATAGTTTCTTGTAGATCTAAGCCTGTTAGCTGTAGTCTCAGTCCATTGAGTCTATTACCTAGTACACCACCTATTTTCTTACATAGAAAAGTTGTGCACAGCACACTTCCCCACAGTTACGCTGCTGCATTGGTACGAGCATTACCCGACCGTGGTAGAAATTCGCAACAGATTTTCGCCATTTTTCGTTTCTGTAAATGGCTTGCCTCCACAAAAATCGTTATTCTCTAATGCAACCTGATTCCGCCTGACGTTTCGTCTGCGGCGAGTTTGTTGCCACCGCATTTCTGCGTAAGCGCGCGCAATAACGCAAATGTATGTCAAAAACGGCGCCATCGTCATTATTTAGCGCTAGAATTTTTTTCTCCTCTTAGTCACTGTGCACACCGCTAATTAAGTATTGGAGTTAGAAGGTCAATTATCATAGTTTCATTTGTGAAATATAGCTTATGTGGTATTGAAGTAGATTCGATAACGCATGTTCTTATGTTCTCTTTGACTTGTCAATTGTGTTCCGAAGTGCATAAATATTTATTATGGATGAAATCAGAAAGGGGAAGTTTGCAGTCCGAGTTTATTAATAAATTTCAGTTTATATGGCATAAGGCTTATGCGATTTTAATGACGATCAGCGAGAGATTCAATTTTAATTTCAATAAAAATCTAATAAATTATAACATATAGATACAGCTTAGCTTAGCTTTGTCTTTCCTTTATTTTATTTTTTTGATGTCTCCTATAAATACCTCCATAAACATTTTTCTATTTAGTATTATATTTCTATACAATTATGTTTTTATTTCTATTTATATTCTATTCTATTATGCCAATCTAGAATTTATTATAAATTTAATAAGTTGTAATATATAAATACAGCTTCCGTATTTCTCTATTCCCTTTATTTTACTGTCTGCTATAAACACCTCTATTATTCTTCTTAGTGTCCACTTCCCCTAGTGGGGCATAGGACCTTCATTAGGGTTTTTTATTTATTTTTTATTTGCCAATCTAAAATTTATTATAATTTTATTAAGTTATAATATATAAATACAGTTTACACATGTCTTTCCTCTTTTTTCACTGTCTCCTATAAATAATAAATATATATATAGGTATATATATATAATATCAATAATATAAACCGTCAGTGATTTAAATTCGTATTCGATTTTAACCAGGTTTCGGTCTACTTGCACTACTTGTCTACATACCCTTTATGAATTTATTGGTCATACGTATTAGATTACTGAATGATAATGGATTAGAAGTGTCAATTAGCCGCAAACTAATATTTTGTATTTAATTTGTATTAATTGTTAGGAAGGAAACTCTTTTTTTTGTTTTTTAAAGAAACTTTTTTATAATAGAAAGGTTTTTAAACAGTAGTGAATTGCAACATCAACAAAATTTTTCTTTATTTTTAATTAATTGAATTATCGGCTAACCACAGTTGATTATGCAAGAGTTGTCAAGATGAAGAGAAGATAGAATCCATCAACCACTTCTTGTGTCTCTGTCCAAGACTACAGACAAGTCGACTTCAATGTCTTGGGGATCGCTTTTTCACTGGCCTGGCGGAGGCCTTGGAGATTGAAAACACACTTATCGGATCTACTTAACTACATCTGGAAAACCAAATGGTTTAATAAGGATATTACACGAAGATAACAAACTTTAGCAACTCGCGTCTTTTGGCGACATCTTTAAGTGCATCACAAAGGGTAATATATGCCTTTGAGTGGAAGTGCTGATGACTGTCATATCGCGTCTTCTTAACCCAAGCTTTGGTTAACCAGACAATTTTTTATTTATTTATTTTATTTATTTAAAAACGCGTCAAGGGTTTTATGCTGCTTATGAAAGAATATTACTAAAAACAAAGCCTTTGAAATACATTATAAATCATGTTTAGCATAAAAGCATAGTATATTTTATCGTACAATAGTTTTAGGGAGGTAGTTTAAGGTTTTTTAGGACAGTAGTGAATTGCAACAACAAAATTTTTCTTTATTTTTAATTAATTGATTTTTTGGCTGACCATATACAGCTTTTTCGAGAATATTTTAAAATACACTTCCTCAGTGGAGTTTTGGGAAATATTTTTTTATTTGGTAATATGACTTGTAACCTGGCAAATTTATATTTTGCTCTAGAATATTTTGTGCAGAACTGCATAAAAGATCAACTATGGATCGCGGTGCTTAGCTCCGTTAAGAGCTGGTACCCTGTTTATTTCTATTTTGTGCAAAATGGTTAGAAAAGGTGCATATGTAAGATTTACCTTTAAGTGGGTGAAAGCAGGATTTAAATATAATATGAAAATTATAGAGCACCTTCAAAATCTACTATCAATTTAATTTGAAGCAAATTATAGATCACTTTTCCAATGTTTGTTTATATCATTGCGCATTAATCTTCTCGGTAATTTTCTCAAATTTACACAACAAATATTCTTGTTCCTATTAAGAAAAAGAAAATAATTTCTGTATTTAAAAGAAGATGATTTTTAATACCTATGGATTTCTCAGTAAATTGGAGCTACTTTAAAAGATTTATGTGGTTTTCTGTTAACAAATTTACTGAAAACATAACTTTCTTTATTTATAGTGAAAACTAATCGTTATGAGGCGTTATCACGACGTGACTTCTATAATTTTCTTCGAGCACCTCTCGTTGTGTTCCCTTTCACTTCGATTGATTTATTATAAAACTGAAAACTGAAAACTGAAAGCTGAAAAGTGCTGTAAGTAGTATTCATCCTTAATCACAGTTTTACATTGTATTTTCTTAATATAATGATTTATTTTTATTGAATGCCGTATATCTGTTCTATGTTTTCGTATCTCAGAACTAGAACGTGTGATCATGAGCGCTGATAAATGACATAATAAATCTTTAAAATTTTTATCATATTCCAGTGTAATCCTGCTTATCACAATCCTGCTTATGTGTAAATTTAACCACAAAAAAATTTCCGAAAATTAAATAAAGGATAATAAACATAAACCAAAAACAGAAACATAAACCAAAACCAAAATATTTGATCACCCCGATTCGTGCCTATGAAGGCAATATGTCGCTCCTTACAATTTATGACACACAATATCTCACATATATAGACAAACTCCTTTCAGAACTCTCTCATAGAAATATATGAAATTTATCTTCTGCTTACTCGTAGCTCAGGAAGGACGATTTCCATTGTTAAACTAATTAGTCGGTTGAGTAAATCATTTACCTGGTTGGTGATATATCAGTGCCAAGGTCGTAATATCGTAAATATTTCATTTATATAGAAAAATAATATTTAAGTTTTAAAGAGAATTTTTTTAGAATTGTTATTGTTGTTATTATTATTGTTGGTGTTGTTGTAGCTGCAGTTCGCGGCTATATTATGTTGATTTTATATATGGAATGCGTTTAAATGGCATTATTAGATTTCTCTCTTTACTTTCCCACCAGGAATTGTTGTATCTTTGGAAGCGGCAACAATCTAGTGGATTGCCCAAATACAATAAGAAAAAAATAACGTTTAATAAACACAAATAAATAAAAAAGAACACACACATTAATGCATTCGTGCGCTATGTACACATTTTAAAGGAAGTGCAAGAAACAGGTTCAAGACGACAAAATTATATGTGGAGAAAAAAGCAAGTCTTCGGTAAAAATATCCGCAATGCTCCTTTCTCACACTCAGGGCCTTTAGGTAGCTCGTTTCACGCTGAATTCAGTTGTGTCTGCGTATTACATTGCATTCCAAAGATGTTCCCGTATTGTGTCTTCAGCGTTTGTAAACTTCAAGAAGATATGTGTGAATCCTTATATGTTGGCATCTTAAAATATTTAACATAGATACATTCATAATATTTTCGTAATAACAGCACAGTGATGTAGTTCGAGTAGTTTAAAGAAAGGGGGTATAATTTTTAAACACATTTATATATCATTTAATAAATTAAAATATAAATAAAGGTTAATAAAATAATATTATCTTACAGATTGGATGATAACGTCATGCTTGTATATAGTATGAAAGCATAGAAATTTTATATGCTAGCTAGGTGTACATATAATAATTTAATTAAAACTGCTACCTAACAGTCAACAGAATTTCAGTATTCGAAAATCTAATATTTGAAAATTTCCACTTGTATATCTAATAGCTCAATTAAAATTCAATATTCGAAAATCTGATATTTGAAAATTTCCACTTGTATATCTAATAGTTCTATTAAAATTCAATATTCGAAAATCTGATATTTGAAAATTTCCACTTGTGTACTTGTATATATATACTTGTATACTAATTGTAGAATTCAATATTCGAGAATCTGATATTTGAAAATTTCCACTTGTATACCTAATAGCTCAACCGAATTTCAGTATTCGAAAATCAAAACGTTGAGAATTTTCACTCGTATATCTATTAGCTTAAGCAAAATTCAGTATTCCAAAATCTGAACGTTGAGAATTTTCATTCATATAGCTAATAGCTCAACTGAATTTCATTATTCGAAAATTTAAACACTAAGAATTTTTACTCGTATATGTATTGGCTAAACCGAATTTTAGAAACCGAATTCGAAAAACTAATTGTTAAAAATTCGAGTTAAGCTATTAGGTATGCTAGTGCATACCAGTATTCGAAAATCTGATTGTTGGCAATTTTCACTTGCATCCCTAATAGCTAAACCGAATTTTAGTGTTCGAAAATCGAAACGTTGAAAATTTTCACTCGTATATCTAATAGCTCAACTAAACTTCAGTATTCAAAAATCTAAACGTTGAGAATTTTTACTCGTATATTTAATAACTCAATCTAATATTAGTATTCGAAAATCTACTTCTTCAAAATTTCCACACGTATACCTAATAGCTTAATCGAATTTCAGTATTCGATAATTTAATTTTAATATCAACTTTTGTGTTATCGACAAAAGTTTCGTCAAATAAAGTATATGATTTTTATTTTAATTAGAATAGACGATAATACTCCGTCTGAGCTATTTGTTACATCTATTGTGAGTTATACCTAGAGAAAGTCTACTAAGCAAACCGAGACTAATTAAAGTTATTGATAATTCTAACAATATCATTTAGCTCAGATGGAGATCGGATCTAGTAACTTTATTTGAGCAAACTGATATTGTTTGAATAATTAACGCCTTTAGTATGTCCTGTCATACTAACATCCTGACAACCGATCCTGATATTTATAGGGATACATGCTAATGAGATTTCAGTCTACCATTTTATCTACACAATCTGTAGATGTCAGCATTTCTAAGTTCGAACTGTAAATGGTGGTACTTAACGGAAGTTAATCTTGTTAAGAAACTTGCTATTACACAAATATCATATACCTATATTGAGATTGATGAATTTGTGGGTGCGTTATAGATGAAAAAAGTCTTTACAAAAATTATTTGTAAAACGAAAAGCTATTGACATATGAAGAGTGAAGAAAAAAAAAAATGTGGAAAAATTTCGTGAAAATAAATTAAAAAAAAAAAAATAAGTTCTTAAAAAATATCTAAAGTTCTTTTAAAAAATGAATTTTGAACCAGAACTCATTCAAGTATAATGATATATTAGAGATCAAGATTTAAACCCTATTGGGATCTGTTTACTGAAAAAAATGAACTGCCTGCCCCACTTATAAGAATTCAATTTTTTGGAATATGCGATCACCTATTAAATAAAGTTCACTTTAAGTCCATATATATAATATTCTTGAAAAAATGAGAGCATTCTTAAATATTTATTTGATATTAATATTTTTAAATATTTTGTTTTCTAATTTGTTGATCTGATCCCCTTTTCCTTTACTGCGGCACTGAGTAAGCACATACCAAACATTTATTTCAGTTGTGGTCGGTCATATTACAAGTAAAAGATGCTGCAGCATTTAATTGAAACTTAAGAAAACGTACTACCAGATTCTTTCAAAAAAAACTTAAAAATATCTACAAAAAATTAAAAACAAAATAATTTCAATGTCATCATCTACGCCGTCCTGCTGGTAATATAAACATCGGCTTAACGTTCTACGTAAGTGCAACATTAACTAGAGTTGCCAATTAGTATGTAAAACTGAAATTAATATTTAACAAAAAAAAGAAAAATGTATATATATATATATATATATATATATTATATGTATACATGTTACTTTCATAACCATAAGTTAGCAATTAAATTATGTGATAAAGGCAGACGTCTAATGAATGCAATAGACGTCTAGAAATGAAATGAAGAAAAGTTGCGCGCCTAATCCTATTTGTGCAGGGAGCCTTTCCTAACGAAAGATAGAATATTTTTTGTAGAGCAGTATCCTATTATCGGTAGTATCAAGAATATTGGTCTTACTATCCGCTCTCTGGTATAATACAGTGTTTTTTGATTAGAAGATATATCCCAATAAAAAGCAGGATATCTTTTTTTAAAGAGTACTTAATTATCAATAGGGTCAAGAAAAGCAAGCCTTATTAGTTCAGAAAGTAGTACCCAATAAAAGGCAAGATGTCTTTCGTCCAGAAGTACTCAACTATCGATAGAGCTAAGAATTTTGGTCTCATTATTTTTTTTCTGGTATAACGCTAAACTCTAATTGATCCGTATGCAATTTCTTATCCACAGTGTAAAATATGACTAAATTTCATTATCTCTTAAAAATATACATTTTGTCGCACTTAATTGTTAATTGTTGAGAAGTACTCTATATTAAACGGAATCAATTATTTCCGATCCAGTATACTCTTTCTAGCTCGTAAAATCGAGTAATCTTCATAAATGTGAGTGAAACTCCATTCCTATAGCATTGGCCGCTATTATTTCTTTTAGTTAAGCTTAAATATGGTTGGTAACTCTACTCTTCATATCTTACTACTGCACACTGCAAAAACAGTGAGTTGCTAAGGATCGTATGGTGTAAGTTCAAGTACACGATTACTAGTGACCACGTATGAACTGCACTCTTAATAAGAAAACTGCTGGATAGCTGTCCATGTATCAGTCTTATCCATTGTTTGTCCATGTTTATTGTTTTTGTATTTTGTTAGATTATTGCTCCTCTGTAATCTCAGTTCGGTTCGGCTCTGTTCAATGAAATTTTTTTTTCTTTAATGTCGGCACTCGAATTGAATTGGAAAAAAATCTTTGCGTTTCTTGGAATTTTTCTGAATGAAAGTCCTTTTTCAGTCGCGTCGCCGTTTACACTGTGGACTCTCAGCACTATTTGTGTTACTGTCGTCAAAATCAGCGGCAACATTACTTAGTTACTCAATGATGAAATTTGTATCATATTGTTTTTTGTTTAAGTTACTAGTTTCCACTTCTCTTCCCCCTTCAATTGTTGTTCTTGTTGTGCCTGGCACTTCTTCGAGTATATATGGTATCTATTTATTTAGTACAAATAATTATATACGGATATTTGTATAGTTATCCTTCGGATTGATTTTACTCTTTATTGTCATTATTAGCGGCCCTTTGAGGCCGGTCTTTTTAGGGCATCTCATTACTTCTTCGATCCTTTGTTTGTTTCGTTGCATGAGTTTACTTACAAATAGATTGTACATAAATTAATTAAAATAAATATATATAAAGGAATTTAAAGTATTGAGTATATTGATATGATAAAAATGTTTATCATTGTTATTATTTTTTTTTTCTTTCAGTTTTTTTCCTATAATTATGCTACAGAGTT